AGCCTAATGGTGAAATTTGTTTCTCTAATTTTAGTTGCCAAAATTGACAGATTTTATATATATATATGTATATATATGTATATATATATGTATATATATATATATGTATAGTGTATGCAAAGCATTATAGTTCTGTACTTGCATTTTTTGCTAAGCCTTAGCCAAAGCTAAGTTACAGCTGTAGAGGGACTGATACTCTCACACAGGAGGGTGGTTCTTGCCTATTGGTTCCTCTGTGTGTCCATGCACSTCTAGTGCCATGTGCATTCTCTAAACAACGTCGCTCTTCAGTGACCTCTGATTTGCAGACCTTTTGAGCAACAATGCAGCCTTCTGGGATATGATAAGCAGCTTGTTTAAAAATGAAACCCTTCTCTTGGGGTAGRGGAAATAATGTTTACTCAGCATTGTGGAACAAAAGCGTTTGAAGATAACAGAAGGAAACAATGATGTACTAATGAACTTGCCCCTTAGCAAAAGTACTAATGCGGTGGGGAGGAGGAATAGGAACATGATTTGCCATTCTTTTCAGATGGATTAGCAATTTCTCTCTTGTTAAGCAGCAACAGACAGGGCAAATGCTTAGTGACAGTGAAGGAAATCTCTTTGTTTGCTGGGTCTAGTGCTAAATGAAGTTTAGTACTAGTGAGGCTGTGCAAGGACCATTGAGCTCTGTGCCAGCTCTTCCTGCTGGGCTTCCTGTAGTGCTATGAGAAAAGGGTTTTGGCTTCCTTCTTTTGAGCTTTGCCTCTGAGAGGTGCTCACTAGAAAATCTACAGATAGGAGTTCTGATGCAACCACTCAGGTTGCTTGCAGCTCACACAGAATTACTAGTTGGGGTGAGGACCCACAGCAAAGCTTGGTGATRTGTTTGACTAAGAGCTCAGGTATGTCCCTGAAAAGTATCTGCTTCATGATTCAAAGCCCTGCCATCCAGACACATACCCAGGTGAGTAAATAGGGCTAGGGAGTATGTAAAATCACGTATGAGATAATGAGAGTGAAGGAAATCTTAATGTTGTCACACAGCTCAAAAAGGGCAGGTAGGGATGTGTGTATGTGTAGCAATGACTGGCAATTAAACTGGGGGATGAGGAAAGATTCTTTCCAAGAACTTCGTTCCCTCAGCTACTTCCTGGGTTTGCTGAATGCCTTGATGAATTCTTCAGGAGTTTTCTTAYTTGTCACAGACAAATCCCCAGTGGTTGCTGAAACTCTTCATGCTGGACGCTTCCTGTTACCTCTTGCCTAATCTCAGTTATGTTACTTTACCCTCAACAGTGAAATATGCTCTTCTTAATCTCCATCCTTTCCTCTGTTCTGTTGTTCTCCTATCTCTGCCCATGCACCTCTACAGCTGTTAGCAGGCTCTGGACAGTTTWCTCCTCAGTCCCTCTCCCATATCAGCAGGTAGAGTCTCAGTTRCTGCCTCCACTCCAAACCTGTCTGCTCTTCAGAAAATGTTTTGACACAGCTAACATGGAGCTGCTAAACAAAGAGCACTAGTAGTTCTTTCTTGTTCCCTATGCTGCCACTTCTCTGTTCAAGCCACTGGATTTTTAACTCCTTCTGACAGTTTCTCAGACATTTGTGCAGAGCTGGTGATGTGCAGTTTTCTTTGTTCATCCCCATGGCTGGTTTTCCATCCCCCAGGCCATAATCTTACCACACTCTTTCAGGGGTTTCTGCGCTTTACTGGAGACACCTGATACCCTTCTCAGACCTTTCTGCAGAGGTGCTTTGTTACCTGTGTGGTCACACTGGCTCCAAAGGGATTTTGGCATGTTCCTGTGCTGGGTGCTTGCACAGAGGCCAGACAGCCACAGGACAGTGGGCAGCTCCCTGACTGACTACCAAAGGGAATGAATGGCCTGTCCTGATGGAGAAGGGTGGCCCATGGCAGTGCCAGCATGAGTCCCCATGGCAAGGGAGCAGTGAGATGGCTGAGTTTGTTATCCACTGATTGATTTTGAGTTCATAGCCAGCAGAAGAATCACAGCATCTGTTAAACCTTCATTCAACACTAAAATATCAATTATGCTGAATGTAGATAAATTAATTTATGCATATGAAGGGACGGAAGGGAAGATTGACCTTCCCTGGAAACGATGGGCTGAGTTGGTTGTACTCCTGGGCAGGACTTTGAAAAACTGAAGTAACCCATGTGAGTCTGCTGGAGCTTGGCAGTGCTCATCCAAGCAAGCTAAGCCCAGGGGGTTGTTAAGTTTTATGAGCAAAACATGATCTATTGTTTGCTGCCTTTGAATCCCTTCAGTGTGTGTGTGTATAAAAACACACATAGTTGTACCTAGGGTGCAAACCCTTGAACAGAGAAGGGGGACATGGATGGAGAGGTTGTCKCCTGCCCAAGGAGCAGACATTGGGCTGGGGCTCTGATCTGGAACAAGGCATTCCCACATCTGACCTCTCTGGTTTGGTATACCCTTAAATTTGGGGGGTGACCTCCTGCAGTCACCCTGATGGGGCAGGAGGCAGTTCCACAAGGCAGGCAGCAATGCCYGGGATCCCCTCATACCAGGAGCAGGCAGGGCAGCTGTACATTGGCTCAGGGAGGCTGAGCAAACTGGAGGGTTCACAGGGCTACCTGGAACATGTCTGGGCTCCAAATGGTTACTCTGCTCTGTGCAGTGGTCTGTAGGTACACACACACACACACACACTGGCCTTGTTCCTTCCTGGGAACTTGCTTTTGGATGTTATTTTAGGACGATTTTCTGGGTTAGATGAACATTAATGGCCTATTGTGTCCCAGTTCTCTAAYTGATTGCATTGAAGTGAGTTGTAGGGCTTGCTGCCTGCCTTTCCCTGCCTCCYTGAAGGGAGAACTTCCTTGCCGAAGACTTAGCAGGGGCATTGCAGTGGTTAAAGAGCCTTGAGTTAAGTGTATGTTGTGCTTGTCTGTTTTAAAGTGAGCAGTTAAGTGGCCTGGCAGGCCTAGCAGTGGAGAAAAAAATAACAAACCATAAATAAAATTCTTGTAATCCCTGGCATTGGTTAAGCAGTTAAAACTCTTGACAAAGCCATTAAAAGACATCATCTGCRGAGTACAGCACTGCCTTAGCAGTTAGCTGGGACAACTTTGTGAGGGGAAGAGGAGGGACAGGCTGATCTCTTCACTCTGGTGACCAAGGGCAGTACCCAAGGGAACGGCTGGAGCTGTGTCAGGGCAGAGTTAGATTGCATATAAGGAAAAGGTTCTTACCCAGAGGGTGCTGGGGCACTGAACAAGCTCCCCACTGAATGGTCACAGYCCCAAGGCTGCCAAAGCTCCAGGAGAGTTTAAACAGTGCTCTCATGCCCAGGTGAGATTTCTGAGGTGTCTGTGCAGGACCAGGGGTTGGACTGGATGATCCTTGTSCARCTCAGCGTGTTCTGTGACTCTGTGACTGTGCCTGGCTCACATGGCAAGAGGAGCGTTAGGATGAATTCAGGTGAGTGACAGCTGCAGCCTGTGAGCTTCAAGGACTTCTCGGTGTCCTCCTGGGCAGGACGGCAGCCCTGTTCCCTTGGAGCAGCCACTGGATCCCAGGCACTGTGTGGGATCAGCCGGGCTGTGTGCCTGGCAGAGCCCCGCGGTGCCCCTCGGCATGGTGCTGGCGACCTTCGGGCAGGAGCAACGTGTAAATAAACGAGAGTCTTGGGATCCTGCCTTGGRGAGGGACAGCCGGCGCTCTGAGGTGATGAAACTGCAGGCTGTAAACAAACAGCTCGCTCTCGCTCTGCACTGCCAGCCACTGCGGCAGCTAAACATAGCCCCAGGGGCTGGGCCCGCCTGGCCTCTGCCCCGCACATCGTGCTGGGCTCCGCTAGCCGTGCAAAGGTGGAATTCTTCGGGCTGCGTCAGCCAGAGCTCGCTGGATGTGCTGATGGACTCAGATCTGCCCGTCCCCGAGTGGGAGCACAGTGCTGAGCACTCAGCCCAGCCCGGCTGCTTGCCCATCCCAATGCCAGCCAAAGGGGATCCTGCTGGCCAGCCTCTCCCACTCCAAGCCGGCAGCAGCGAGCCTGGCGGAGGCAAATTATGCTCCTGGTATTTCTCCCTGCGGTGTGTGGGAGGAGGTGTGTAGCAAAGGGAAACTGGTGACCCGTCTGCACCCTGTAATAGGGGAAGGAAATAGCAGGCTACAGCTGCTTCAGGCAGGAAGGTTCCTGAACACATAGGATATTAATATAMACTTCTGTTTCTCAGACAGGGAGAAGCTCCAGAAGCCTAATGTAAGAAATGGTTTGCTTGCTGCTTTGAGGTTCATTAAAGTTGCAATATTGTGACAGTCTTGTCTTTTGATGGCTGTGCCATGAGTAATACATGACAAGGGTTTTATGAGCATCAAGTCTCTGAGGTRTCTTTAATGTTGCTCCTTGAATGAGGCTGAGCCCAAGGCCCTAATTCCTTGTGGCTGCTTAATGATTCAGTTGTGTATGAYTGGAAGACTACACAACATGCTGGGGTATGGTGTCATCAGGAAATTATTCACATACAGCCTTGCTCCAGAGTGCTGGTCTGGATGCTTTAAAAATTACCAGAAGTGTAATGGACGTTTGTGTTCATTCTTTCTCCTGTCGCGCCTATCAGATATGYGTGGAATAGGCTGCATTTCTCCATGGGTTTCCTTTCCAATATTGACAGAAACATGAAGTAATTGCTTCTAAATCTCTCTTAAAAGGGTTTTAATCATGAGTGGAAGCAGAGGATTTTGCTTTGCTGCTGTAAGACTTAGGGGGAGTAGCTGATGCATGACTGGAAAGCAATGTGTTACTCCTGCTGAGCTAAACTCATGTCACATAAAGAAATCAGTTCAACRCCATCTCTGCCCTTGTGATAGGGTTAAAAATATATTTGCTGCTTGATTAAGTATTTTGAAGTCTGTTTCTCACCCAATGTAGGGCCCTCTGGAGAGCTGTATGAAATGGCACTCAAATGGTCGTGGATGAGCAGACAAAAGTAAACCCATTCTCCTGTTTGTTTCCTTCTTTTGCAGGACAGATTCTGCATCCCACATGAGCTACGATAATCCTCCACCTTACCCCGGCCCGGGCCCGACTGCCCCGTACCCACCCTATGCACAGCAGCCGGGGGCCCCTCCCGGCCCGTACCCCGGCTATCCCCCCGGACCCACCGGGCCCTACCAGCCGGGCCAGCCAGGCTACCAGGGATACCCCCAGTATGGATGGCAGAATGCACCTCCACCTCCAGGACCGGTGTACGGAGATGGGCCGAAAAACACAGGTATGAGGCACCATGCCAGGGACACTTGTTTGCCTCACATGAGTACACGCTGACCTTGAGTATGTTCACCAGCACCTGGCCTAATGGCCTTGGAGCAGGTGGAGGCTGATTTGAAGCAGTAATTTTGCTTACAGCTTGTTTTCCTGCTTTATTTTGCTGTAGTGTCTCTAACAGTTCTCTCTCTGGTTGTTGAACATCCTTAGTGCTGATGCCTCAAGGGAATCCTTATGCTGAGGTTGTTACACAGGTTTTAGATTTGCCACAACTCTTATTCCCCTGTCTCTTGCTTGATACGTTTCAACCAAAKGCTGCACAGTTAAAGCTTATGACATTCAAATGTACAGTTGCTGCTGAATTAATGGGCCTTGGTTTTCTTGAGCCCATCAGCATCTGTCCAAGTGATCTATTCATTCCTTGGCGTTTGGGTTTTTTCCAAAGTTATTAGTATTCTATGGAAAAACCCAGATTTCTAGGGAAGGGAGGGAGGATGGTGTACCTTCCCTTGGCAGCTGGCTGCTCCATCTGTGTGCCACRTCTCCTCAATATGGCACATTGGTATGCTCTGGCACCCACAGCTCTCATGGGGCTCACTGCAGTGCTTGCTGCAGGCTCAAATTGTCAGAGAAGAGGCAGGGAAAATGATAAGAGACTGGAGCTTCTGCCTTCTATGAAGAGAAGMTGAGAGAGGTGGGACTGCYCAGTRGGTTTGAACAGTCTGGTGTGGGTCTATCAGGAGGGCCCAAATTTAAGCAATGAAYAATTGGTGTGAGTGAATAAGAACCTGAATTGAGTGCGAATCATGAGTTCGACTTCCTCTGTAACAGAGAGAGAACCCTGCCTTTGAGGAGGAGGAGGAGGAGGCAGCAGCATGGTGAAGCTTCCCACCACTTCCATCACAGGACTCMAAGTGCAATCAGGGTTTTCCCCAGGGTTTTGGGGTGGCTAAGAAATATTTCTCAGTAYTGGGTGGAGGAAAAAACTCCTCTTCTCCCATGTTGAACATCTTTGGTTGGTGCCAGGGTTGCTTTGCTGCTATAGCCGCACAAAGGGATATGCTGACAGAGGGTGAAGGGAGACAGGGACTGTTGCTGTGGACAGTCTGGCTTTGAGACAGTTCTGCTACCTTGGAGGCTTGAAGGATCTYGTATCAAACTGCATCTCAGATGAGGGAAATGATGACAGTGAATGTCCTCTGCTCTGCTCACAAACCAGTTGAGCAGCACAAAGGATAAGCTGGGAAATTGAAGAGGACAGGTAGTGAAGTGTTTGAATGTCTTTCACTAAGGTCCCAGGCTTGTGCTACAAGTTTGGTTTTGTTATTAAATCTAAGCTAACACAGCTGCAGAACAACCCACAAACCAAAGATCTGGTAAGTTCTGTCCTTGAACTGCCTTCCTGCAGCTATGGGTGGTCCCTGAACATACCTTGGGAGCCTCTACTTTGCTCTGCTTTTCATGAAGTGGATGTGAAAAATGAGGGAATTATAGAATGGTTTGCACTGGAAGGGACTTAAAGCTCATCTCATTTTAGCCCTCTGCCATGGGCAGGGACACCTTCCACTRTCCCAGGTTGCTTCAAGCCCTGTCAAACCKGGCCTTGGACACTTCCAAGGATGGGGCAGCCACAACTCTGGGCAACCTGTACCAGGGCCTCACCATTCTCCCAGGGAAGAATTTCTTCCCAATATCCCACCTAACCCTGCCTCCAAGTCCTCCCCAGGGCAGCTTTCCATCCAGCCTGTGTTTGTGCTTGGGAATGCCCCTACCCAAGCACAGAACCACCTGCTTGGCCCAACTGAGCTTCACATGCCCCACCTCTTCATTCTGTCCTGGTCCCTCTGGACAGCCCACATTTATTTTAAGGATGTTTATTAATGTCTGCAAAGTGAAGTCAGGGCTATAACTTTGCATTTGTCTGCAAAAGCTTTCTTTTCTTCATTCTCCTTCTGTTAAACGCCCTTYTTACCCCCCTTTGTTCCTTTTTGGCCAGTCTGTCAAACTGGAATCTGATCTTTGTCCTCTGATGCTGTAACAGAGCTTTCAATAGGGCTTTGTTTAAGAATCACCCCCAGGAGTGTCTGATTTACAGTGGATGTTTCTAAAAAAGCTGTTTTTTATAAATCTGTTGCACTAATGCTGTGTATCTGTTAGTGTGGCTGAACCTTCAATATGAAAAATTGATGTCTGAATTTAATCAAGTCATTGCAGTCGGCCTAGCTGGTCTAGCATGATTTCATGTGGCTTGTCAATTCCTGTGGTGTTTCCAAACAACTATCAGGGAAGAGCTACTGTGTGGATGCTTTCCTTTAAGAGCAGATGTTTTGCCCTCCTACATGACTTTGCTCAATCTAATGAACTAAGCTACTCCAAGTAGTACATTAGTATTTCTGAACAAATGTGTGTCCACATTGAAAATTAGGAAATTTGCTATGCTTTAAATTTGATACTTTATGTTATTTTACCGTGTGGGCAAACTGCAGAGTGGGCTCTTATGTTGTAGCTCGTAGCCAGTGAGCTAATGCTAATGTATGGCAGTAATTATGCCTCGTATTTTTGTCCAATGATCTGCTACAAACAGGTGAGAAAGGGAAGATGTTGCCACCTTTTCAATATGGCATTGAATAGGGCAACAAACATAAAGGCTTGTTGGAGGAAGCTGCAGTCCAKAGCAGCTCTGAACCAGGAGAACTTGTGTGTTCCCCTCTGGAYTGTCTATGCAGGATTAGCCAGCCACGAGGATGTCTGGGGTGCAGAAATCAGCTTGTGGTTGTGTGTTAGGACTTAGTGGTGGTGGCCATATGACTACCACGTGGCCACCCCCATATGGCACTGTGGGACAGGGAGACTGCAGCTGATCACAGTGTTCCTTGGTCCCTTCTCCCAGAGGGGATGGAGTCCAGTATGTGCAAAGTCAGGCCATGAAAGGCCTCAAAGCGTAGCTTTTTTTCTCCGCATGAAGGAGAAGCTGGAGACTTGCTGAGGTGGCACAGAAGATGTCRTGGTTTTGGTTTTTGGATGGACAGCTTTTAGTCTTGACCAGGTTACTGATACCAAAGTCTCCAAAGCACCCCCTGCCTTACATCTTACGAGGACTGGCAACTGACTTGGCCTTTGTTCATTAGAAATAACCAACCTGACCTTTGCCTTTAGAGATGATAATTTATGTGCTGAGCCTGAAGGACTTTATCTTTAAGGGTGTCTGGTTCAGCTTCTTAGCACTGTGAGCTGATGTGCTGATCTCTGTCTGCAGTTTTCCTGCTGCAAAGGCCGAGGGCTGGCTCCGTGTCTGTCCAACAGGTGTGAGTTCCTGGAGCAGTGCAGATGTGCCACACAGTGCTTGGTGTGGCTGGAGGGAACCTGCCTGCCCCAGAACAAAGCTGGGAAACACACAGCTTTAGGGAAATGGTACCTGCATGGAGCATTGTGTGGAGCAGGTTCTTCTTTACAGCAGGGGCTTGCTAAGGAGGAAGAAAATACCTCATTACAGAAAATATCTCATTTCCCCACCAGTATTTTCATTATTTGTTATCAACTGGCACAAGGAAACCACAGTAACTGCTGACTGGTCAGCTGATGCTTTCTTGTTCATGTTAATTAGAGGTGAAGTGTAAAGCAGATGATAATGGTATGCTTTTAAAAGAAGTGGAATGAGCCAAAGTATGAAGTGACATACTAATTTTAAAAGCAGAAGCTGATGTTAGCAATTTGACCAGCCTAACTTCTCTGCTCCCTGTTGATACATGCCAGTGTAATGGATGGGACTATTCTGTGCTATGCCAAGGGGAACCAGGCTCTGTCAACAGGCACTGAAGGCAAACAGCTCCGTATTGCATCTGACCCATTGTACACASAGGGTGGAAATCTTACTTCTGGAAGTTGTTTACTTGTAGCAAAGCCAGCTGTGATAAGAGTAATAGTCACAGTGATGCTGTCTRCCTCCTGATGTTTGTCCAGCTGCAGAATAAACAGGTCAGCTAGATACAGGCACTGCCTGCCACTGGAGGGGTGAATGGTTTTTCCTCTTTGTCTGTCTCAGTGTGGAAAGGAGGGTATCCAAATCATTCTGGTGAGGCTCTCCAGTGGTTATCCCCTTGCTTCCCAAACCATGTGGAGCTGAGTCTTCCCCAGCAGGAGTTAATTTGGAGGACAGGCTTTCTCTCTGTCTGTTGTTCTTTCCAAGTAGTCTGTCAGAGCATTTAATTTAACTTTTCCTGTACCTTCAGGAGCTGCAACTCCAGATGCTGGAGTCCTGCCAAAAAAAAAAATCTTCCTTGGCAGTTGTCCTCTTATCTGCTTCTCATTCTTTAGAGTGCCTTAAAACCCAGCGTTCTCTCCTCCAGGATTGCTGTATCATCCCTCCCTCTGTCCCAGGCTGCACAACAGCAGGAGCTGTTGGCTGGCAAACAGCGCATAGCTTGGGCTGCTGTCTCACCTCACCTTCACTGCTTTTCATCCTCAAGGAGGGCGTAATCTGATAAAAACCTGTTGCAAAGAAAATTATYCCCAATTCAGGTCCAGTATCTGAAAACAAGTTTCAGACAAACTGGCCTCAGGAGGCCAAGGCTGGCTCCACTGTGGGCTGAATTTAATGAGGCTGCAGTTCAGTGATTGTCGACTTGGGCACCAGGCTGGGTGAGGGGGCAAATATTCCCCAGCCTTTTCCCAGTACTGCAGGCACTGCACAGACTGTGGTACCTGACAGGGGGAACTGCACAAGGAGGATCAYCCTGTGGCATGTTCTCTTTGCTTTAAATTGGGCTTTGTCCCTCCTCGTATCTATCACCCAGAACATGCTTGCAAGACCCTTATAATATGCAGTTTGTGCCGTGTAAAACCCTCCAAGCCAGATCTTATTTAACTCTAGGACTGGTGCTGATTTTCAGTGTAAACACAGACTCAGGCTGAGGACTGTGCTGTTCTTAGCCTGGCAGCTGACTAGGTTAAAAACATCTTCTTGTTTTAACAGTAAATTAAGATTTTGCTGATTTTAAAAAATGTTAG